TGTCCCTGACGGCCCCTCATACCGCTTCCTCTGGTTCTCTGCCTGTAGAGTGTTGAACCAGTATGTTGATGGAGCTCTGTAAAGATGTGGACACAGTCTCTGATTTCCCATTTGTTTGGCCAGCCTGAGTCCCAAAATATGGACATTAGCCAGGAGCAGCCTTAAGTCCGAGCTGGGCCAGAACGGCTCCTATCGGCTCTCTTCCTCTCTTCTTGGGGCGACCACAGCACCTGCCAGGGTGCGCTGTTTTTCTTTCATCCAAACTGGACATCCTCTTCCAATGACTGCAGGTTATTTTTTGTTATAGGTAATACATGTTTCAGTAATAAAGCCAAAAACAGATTGGTTCGAAGGAGCTAGCCTTCCGGTCGCAACATCTGAATGCGCCACCATTGCCATAGTCAAAATATTCTGAATCTAATCGAATTTAACAATTTTGCTCAAATCAGACCCAATCAGACATCATTCAACATTGTCGCCAATATTAAGAAGCTAGAGGAAGCTTAGCGTCCCCAAAATTATCACTGAAAGAAATAAGTCACCAGCTACCTCACGTAGTATATCACACTGATCTAAGTTCAGTAGGAGACCGCCATTCAGTACCCACACATTGGAATTCAGCATAGGCTTATTAGGCTGTCACTGGCCTGAGATCAGTGGGTCACACGTCACGTCACTAAGTCACTACATGAGCTCACCTTTCCCATTATTTTTTGCAGTGTAAAATTAGTAATGTCAGTTAGTTCGTTAAATTGGGACATTATGGATGGATTTGTTTTCAAACGTTGGATAACTTTTTTTAAACAACAACCAGCAGATTGCGCTGCTTTGAAAACACCAGTGGTGAGTTATATTGAACAATAATATAATAATAATAAATATATTTCAATAATCTGGTGGATTAGGAAACTATGCTGACTTTGACGCGTTCTGTGTGTCCTCGGCTGTCTCAGGCTCTCTCTCTCTTTAAGTTGCATATCTGATCTGCTGCTGATGTGTTCTCACTCTGCAGCTGTTGTGGTCTGGGTAGACTAACGTGCTGTTTTAGGACAACTCTGTGTCAAATGTGCAGTGTTTTTTGGGTGGTCTGTGTGCCCACCCTGGTTAATGCTCAGCGACTCCTGTATCTGCTGTATCATCATGGGATTATCACGCATGGTGTGCTTTACTGTCTGCTAGATAGTTCACATTGTGGTGGAAAAGGTATTAATATTTAAATGATCAATTATCATTTATCAACTCGTGAAGTTTAATTGTAACTTAGAGTCAAATGCTCACAGTTGTGTATGATGAAATGTATTTATTCGTCATCGGGAGAAGCCTTTGCATGGAGTCCGCCATGTTGAACCGCCATGTTTCTACAATTGCTCAGAAGAGACAAACCAAATGCCACTGTAGTTTCTCCTTTGTGTATTGAAAGGGAGTGAGTTGTGATTTTGCACTTCACCACTAACTTCCACTAAATCCTACACACTGCACCTTTAAAAGATGTTTTTGTACCATTGACTCCTGTCTCACAATTGACTGCCATCCATGGCTGCTTTGTGGATTAGTTTATATAATAGCTTTCTCTGTCAGCACTATCAAGACGGTTTGCAATAGGTCAACAGCATGAATTTGCACGTTTTTGTTTGCAGTTTCTTTGACGTTTAATAAAGACATTTTTAAAATAAATTATTTTTGTCTCTCTGCCTCTGTCTCCCTGTTTGTCGTTCTGTCTCTCTGCCTGTCTCAGACACAGATAAAGACCACCCCAGGCAAGAAGGAGGAGTCATGTGGAAAGTGGGTGGTGGCCTGTTCGGCATGACACGAAACGTCGTTGGCGCAACCCTGGGGGGTGTTGCATGGGTAGGAACTAAAAGTTTTGAGCTCACTAAGACAGCTGTGACCAGCGTGCCGGCAGCCAGCCTAGGATTGGTCAAAGGGAGTGTCTCCATGGTTACAGGAGGTGTTGGGGCAGTGGGATCCGCAGTGGCAAGTAAAGTCACACCAAGAAAGAAGGACAAAGCTGACTGATGGTCAGTGGCCTCTTGTGTGTGTGTGTGTGTGTGTGTGTGTATATGTGTGTATGTGTGTGTAATGCAAACAAGAGCAAAATACCTCGAAAGCTTAGAATGGATTCACAGACCCTCAAAGTAAAGCCTGTATTCCATAATGCAGCTACAAAGATACAAAAGCAGCTAAATGTCAGCGTCATCTGGAAATCTGTTGCACAAGGCGACCCCCCCATCAGAGGTCCAAAGAAATACTAACAAGCCAATGTTGTTGTTTTTTTTCTCCCATACACCAGGGGGTTCAGGCAGACCTTTCTCCATCATCAGCTCAGCACTAAAACAGCAGATAGGTCTAGCTATGCAAGACTAGACTGCCACAGAAAATAAATATGTCACTGAAAACAACTGTCAAATTATAGAATGAGCGATAGGCCGGAGACAGCCCATCGCTTTGTATCTGCATGTCTGAACACACAGTAACGTGTTCCCTCAATAGCATCTAACAGCTTGAAAAGAAAATGTTTTTGTTAAGAATAAAATAGATTATCATTACAAAATTTTAAGAAATTGTCCCTAAAAGGACTGGTTAGGTAAGAGTACATGCATGTTAATGTGGCGTCTGAGTACTGCTCAGTTTTTATCATCCACTTATTAAAGATGGACGTTGCTTCTCCACTTCCTCCCACTGTAAAAAGATAAGGCCAAAATATCCATTGTGACGTCTTTCAAAGCCAGAGTCTGCGCACTAGGTTTGACGCCGGTATCAAGATCTTGCCTATATACCCGGCCGACTCAATTGCGAGCAGGACTCAGCTGTCAATTAAAACCAAACTGATCATAAAAATGAACACTCAATCATCAGTGTGATCAGAACTAAGATAGAAAGACAGACAGAAACCATCTTTGGGGAAAACATTTGGCTTTGATTTATTTGTTTATCCCATCTGCTAACATGTAGGCTTTATGACCTATACTGCAGTCAGCCACCAGGGGCGATCAAGATGTTTTATCTTTGGCACTACTACTAGCTGTCATGTCCTCCATCTTTTATATATGTCGATGATTTGTATAGGTTTGTTTTTTCTTTCTGTTACGTAGTCAGTTTCCTGACACTGTAAGTTGAGAACACTACACTAACATTCTCATTGAGCTGGATGGACTCAATGAGAATGACTTGACAATCACAAGGTAGCCACGCCCTAAAGCTTACCCTGCTTTATTGTCTATTTTACTCAAAATGGGACCATCATTTACTAAATGAACATCATGCTGTATGGAAAAAGACTGAAACTAGAGAACATAAACTCATTAGGAACTGTTTACTGCAGCTCATAAATCACATCAGAAGTCAGCTCATTTCTCATAAGACTAATTATACTATCAGACTTCATTAGAAAGAATGCAGTTTAAGACGATTTCATGTTGGTTCACTTTACAGACCCAGAAGCTCTGTCCACTAATTATCCTGCCAGTGGTATGTCATTTGTTAGGCTGTCTGTGTTGAAAAGACAAATTTTGACATTAGTTGCATGTAAGTAGCTTGCTAGGATTGATGTTGAATAGTTAGATTTAGGCCAAATTGTTATTAGAGCAAAAGGGGTGGGACTTAAGAAGGGTCTTTTTTAGCAACCACATGCTGATAATAATTTTTAGAATAAACATTCATAAGTATGACCTTTACTTGGTATATTTCCTCTGAAGTATGTCTATATTAGAGTGCATGTCGTTTACATTGTTTAATCAACCGTATAGGTTACCGTGGAAGCACAGACATTTATGTGTTCTGTTTCTGTTCGATTGTGGTAGAGATGCCGTTGGTCACAATGGGTCAATCACACTGTAAGACAATGCTTTGTATTATTGTGGAGAATATCAGCTTGCATGCCACAAGAGAAAAGTGAAATTGGTTCAATCTAGCAATGCAGAGTAAGCTATATGATATAGTGTATTGGAAAGAAGAGGGTGATTACTGGGGAATATGTTGGGTTTCTTTGTGTTCATTTAAAGGTAAATAACTGTTACACTGTGAGACTGCGTGTCGATGGCAGTCAGATGGATCCAAATAACCGTTTGTGTAATCTCACCCAGGATAAATTTAGGTCACTATTGGAGATTAGTGATCTTTGTCCTGGTGGTTAAAACTGGCAGTAGGTAATTTTATGAAGAATAGTTTTTGTCAGTATTTTTCTAAAACTTTCACTATATCTGACAGTAGACATGATAAAAAAAGTCGTGTAAAAATCTAAGTTGGGCTCCCTAGTGCTCCTAAGCATGGCAGAGAATCACGCGCAGAAAAACCAATCAGAGCGAGGAAGATTGATTGGTTGAGTCTCATTCCGAGGTTGTCAATACCGAATATTTGGATAAAAATGAAACTGAACATATTTCAGTCAGCCAACACGTTTGAATTGTTTATTACAGGCAGTATAGCATATTTGGATTTGGCGTCTAGATCGACCCGATCATGTCGCCCGCAGGATGATGTTTACACAGATATTGGGGAGTGGATGAGCAAATACCTTAACCCTAGTGGGAGCTAGTGGGGAGCTGGGGGTGGTGGTGGGGTTACAGAGCGCAGGCAGCGAGGGTGGCGAGGAGCAGGGGCAGGGACAGGGGGCAGGGAGGGGGAGAGCTGGGGAATTGTGGTGCAGTTGTAAGATAGACCGGCCATATTGGAAGGGTGCTCTTGGTTAGTGATATGGAGAGTGACGGGGTGTGTATATGCGCCGAGCTGAAGTTGACTGCTTGGAACTAGCTGTGCAGGCTTCGTTCATATTCATATTCTCAAGCTCCATCCTTATTCTTCGTTGATCTTGATGCAGTTTGATACCTCGAGCATGCCAGTTTTACTGGAGATTACAGAATCGGTATGCGGCATACTCTGCGCTATGCTTCACACTTCGACTACTTACAACTCCTCACCTTGACACATCAAAGCTCTCTTAATGCTCTCATTAATCAATTCGCTTTCCTATCTCCGCTCCCTGTTATGGTGCTGTCTTCACCGCGGGTGCGCTCTTGGGTCCACCCGCCCTCTCTCGTCCTCTCCTGCTCACACTCTTCTCTGAGCATCAATCTTTCAGCCCCCACACCCGCCTTCCATCCGACATGCTCAATAACACTGTTGTCGATGCATCTACTTTCTGTCAAAACCTATACCAACCCTGACCTACTGCTCTCCTCTCCATGAGTCGTCTTACCCTGCACCTCCCCACACTCGGATGCTCTCTTAACTATTACTCCCACCTAATCCCTGACAAAACTGAAAATATCTTTATTCTGGCCTGACAACATATTCGTCACTGCAGTCTGACTCAGCTTACTTAGGACCACTCCACCGCACTACACTATCAACCACTGCTCAACGCATATGGGTATCACTCTCTCGCACGCCATCCCTGACTTCTTGACCCTTCCATGTCACAAAATCTGTCAGCCTGTTCCTCTGCACCTACGACCATCGCTCACGCACACCCACACACAAAAGATTCCTGTCCTCACGCTCGCACTCTCTTCGCACACACTCACTTCAACAGCTTCATCTTTTCTCCCGTCTAGATTAGTGTAACCCTCTACCCCTGGCTCCAGTCAGCGCTTCGTTTAAACGATTTACAGTTAGTCCAAAATGCACGCCCGGCAGACTCTTATACCAGAACAGCGTTCGGTCCCATTACTGCATTCTTGCATCCTTCATTGGTTCCTGTCACACTCTTCGAATCATTTTAAGATCTTATGATTACATATAGCTCAATGCCTTGACCCAGTGTACATTTCAGATCTCCTTGTTCACCACTCACTCCTCGGCCACTCCGCTCCTCAAATCCTCGGCCTTTTATCCCGTTCAACGCTTCTACCTGAAATCTAAAGGTGACCGTGCTTCGCTGGTTCTTACCCAACATTGTGGAATAGTACTTCCCTATTCACTCAGATTCACTGAATCTGTGGACAGTTTAAGCGGTGCTAAAACCTCTTTTACAGGCAGCCTTTTTATAGATATCATTGTTTGTTTCTCATCTGTGTGTGGCTTTTAATTTATCTCCCTTTTGTTTTATCTTCTTGTTTGTTTTTACATGCTACTTATGCTGTTTTCCGTGTGTTTGTTATGCTTATTTTATTTGTTTTTGGAAAGCACTTTGGATCTCTGTATCAAAAAGGTGCTATATAAATAAAGTTTTACTTACTTACTTACTTACTTATTTACTACTGTTAGCATATAGTGACAGTTATATATATAGCTGTTTTTTTTACTTACTTACTGCAGCTACATTACCTTCAGCTTATTTTGGATATACACAAGTTTAGGACTGCCGTCCTAGGAATGACTTTTTATTTGTCACATTCAGGAAATAGTTGGCTATATTGTTTTTTATTTTGTTTTTCTTTCTTTCTTTCTTTCTTTCTTTCTTTCTTTCTTTCTTTAAATCTGTGCTAAATGTGTGAAATTAAAATAGCTTAATAGGATTTTTATTGTTTATATTGTTTATTATTTAATTGTTACTTTGGCCAGAGACAAAGATTTTTTGGGGCGGAAGCCCTTCTACTCAGTATTTAGAACTAGAGCCTGACCGATTTTAGAGGGGAAAAACTATTGGTTGTTTTTGTTCAGGCCTGGTGGATTCTTGCAAGTGACCTACTGCAGATTTAAACAGAAGGTTTATGAGGAAATACATAAAACAGCTGAAAAATGATCTGCAACAGGAGGACTAACTTTTATAATAGCATGCAGGTTATTGTAGGTGAATAACCTGTCCCTTACAATGTGATAGTACAAAGACCAAACTCTGTTTGCATTTGTGTGAATTTTGTAATTGTACTGTTGAACCTACATTTTTATAAGAAAATAAAATCATTCTACATTTGCTGCATGCCTCAGAATGATGTTTGTCTCACACAAATGGTTTTCTTCTCTCACTCCTATAGAAGCCTATTTCTGCCATTGTGACAGGGGAAAAAATAATTCTGTAAGTCATTATAATGGGGAAACTTTCTCAAAATATTGACTTTATGATACTTAGTCATTATTTTTAGATATGTCAAAACATTGAGAAAGTTTCTCATTGTTATATTAATATAAGTCAATATTTTGAGGACCTTTTTCATTATGACTTACAGAAACTTTTTTTCTTATGTTCCATTGGTGGAAATAGGATTCCATACTCTCCTGTCATGCAACATTTGTCTGAGTTTCTTCTCTTTCTCCCCTCACTCCCTCTCTCTCTGGCTCTTTCTGTTAAACCTGAGGACTTTATGAGAGACTAAACAATTTTGTGTATTATAGAAATAGTTTTGCAAACAGGATGAGGCTGTATTGTAAATTAAGAACAGTTGTTTTCTGTCAAGTCAGCTGTATTCATGCAGCCCAATATCACAAATAATAATAAATAATAATTTGCCTCAAGGGGCTTTACAATATTAATATTATTGCCTTTATTTAAACTTAAAAAATCATTGAGGGCTTGCTCTTTCAAGCAACAGTTTGATTGATAAATCGTAAAAGATATGAGCTAAAAAAAACAATTACAACAAGCTACTGGATACAAGATACTAAAACAATTTAAGTAAAACAAACTGAATTGTTTTTGATCATGGATTCAAATTCACCACGGAATATAAGCGTATTGATTCTTGTGCTGCTTTGTAAAGAGTTCCAGTTAGTCAAAGCACAGAAACTGAAAGCAGATCTTCCCAGCTCAATACAATCTCGAGAGACTTGCAGAGAAAGGGAATCACTGGACCGTGTCAGATATGGTTAAGAGGACTAAACTAGCAAAGATGAGATATAAGATGGCAACTTCCCAATGAGATCCCTGTAAATAAACAAATGCACATGCTTATCACGTATCTCCCACTGACCACCGAACTTTTTATTACAGGATGCAATGATGAGTACTGTAAACATCCCTAGTAATAAACCTAAGAGCAGAATGATAAACAGCATCTAGGGCAGAGGCATGCCAATAAATCACAGCAGTGATAATGGCAAGGAAAACAGCTTTAATAACCCTTTTACAACAAAACATAGTTAATTTAGTTTTATATCTATATAAAACAAAGTTTTTTGTTGTTGTGTAATTAGATGACAAGAATTTCTTATTTTTTTCTGTTCAGGGTATTTATATTCTGTAACTCTCCCAATGTTGGATGGAGGTATTTGAGAAAGACTGCTCTAGAGAACAACATAAACTTAGTTTTATGTGCATTCAGTACAAATTTAGTAAGTAAACCCCAAAACATCCTCTGTATATGGATATTCAGTAGTGTTGTTGATCGATTCATGTCTAAATCTTGACATTTTAATGCAAAGTATTTGAATTCTACATATTGTGCTATAAATATGCCCTATTTGCCTAACCCTAACCCGACCGCCCTCTACTGGTTGAAACCCGGCTACTGCAGATGAATTTTGCGATTGGCTGATCTGGAGGCAGATGGCGAATGTGGTGGCAGCATTCATTACCAACTAACGAAATTAAATTGCACTGTAAGTTACAACAAAAGCTACATCACAACTAACTTATC